GCATGTTATACTTCTTAGAAATTGTTAATGTTTTGCTAAAAGTTGCCTGAGTACTGCAAGAGCTTAGGTATGTCTATATTTATGTATTTATTGCCACTTACTACTGGGGATCTATATAACATAACGTGAACAGAAGCTGTTCAGCTGTGAATTTGTGGGCTACAAAAATAAAGGGGGTGCTTGATTTTTGTATGAGGAAGAATATTTTTTTATCAAGTTTAGCATTATGTGTGACATTTTGCTTTATAAGCTTTCTTGGAAACATCATGTTAGCATCAGGACTTTTCTTTCCTTCACCAATACTGTATTTGGTCCCCTGCCTATGTGCAGCCTTATTAGAAGTGAATTTAGGTAGTCAGGACTCTATGGCCTATTTTAGGCCCCATTCACACCTAAGTGTTTTGTCGCTCAAATGCCTAAGTCTTACAACACTCAACAGGAGAAATCCCATTGTTTTCAATGGCACCAGTTCACCTGAGTGTTATGTCACTTGAGGCAAAATGCCAGTAGCTTTAAAAAGTACATGAGCTTCTTTTGGAGCAAAGCATTTTGGCCCCAATAGACTTTAAAGGGAGCACCTACAAAATGTGAGAAAAACAGGCAAAAATACAGATAATGCGTGTTTTTTAAGCTAGCTTTGCATTGGCTAAAAATAAAATAAAACACTTAAGCCTAAAAATCTCGCAAAAATGCCTGTACAAACTTTATAAAAACACCCAATATAATACCCAAAGACATTCAGCTCAAGCATAAATGGGGCCTTAGGAATTAAATAAGTCAGAACCATCTGCTGCACTGCCACTGACTAGTGATGAGGCTGGGCTTGGTGTGAACCCTGTTCACCTACAGTTGTGTGAAAAAGTGTTGGCCCCCTTCCTGATTTTTTGAGCGGTTCATGCTCGAAAACCTTCCAATGCTGCTGAATTACAACAATTATGCAAAGATGAGTGGACCAAAATTCCTGCACAGCGCTGTAACAGACTCATTGCAAGTTATCAAGTTATCGCAAAAACGCTTGATTGCAGTTCTTGCTGCTAAGGGTGGCCCAACCAGTTATTAGGTTTAGGGGGCAAACACATTTTCACACAGGGCCATGTGTGTTTGGATTTTGTATTCCCTTAATAATAAAAACCTTCCTTTAAAAACTGAATGTTGTGTTTACTTGTGTTATCTTTGACTAATATTTAAATTTGTTTGATGATCTGAAACATTAAAGTGTGACAAACGTGCAAAACAATGAAAAATAAGGAAGGGGGCCAACACTTTTTCACACAACTGTATGTTCACCCAAGCCCACTCAAGACTGTGACTGCAACCCCCCAACCCAATCAGTCAGTTGCTGAGAGACGAATTCCCTGGCCCCCAGCTATACATCACAAAGGGGCAGGGAATAAACCCACCACAACTTCAGCCACTGACTGAGCCAGGTGAGGGGAATGGTGGTCACAGTTTTGAGCAGCCTAGGGCGAGTTCAGGACTGGATTCACACCAAGCCTAGGCTCATCTCTACTGCTGACTAACTGCTATACCCAGTTTTCTAGAAGTAGTTAATTGCTGATTTTGAAATATGTTTTGGAACATATGGCAGAGAAGTAGTACAGACCGTCTTTGTTTTTCACCTGTCTGCAATGCTGCTACGCAGACATCAGTTATTTGTGATTGTCTGTAAATTTTACCTGCAGTTAAAAAAAATAATGCAATATACACAAGGTAAACCCAGATATGTCAAAAGACACTCAGTCAAAGTTTTTTTTTAATTATAACTTTAGTGAACTAGCTTTTGTAATTTTATGTAATCATCTCTCAGGTTAGCATTATGATACACAGAGCACAGTTTATCCTAAAAATAACAGACTGCCTAAGGGCAGGAAAATAATTAAATGTCAGATTATTTTCTGTTGATTTGTGTTTAGTAATGAAATTCTGGCATAATCACCCTAGAGTAAGTGAAATAGATTTAGTTACAATAACTGTGAGAACAACTCAATCTTGAATCAGTAAATGCCAACTAATGCAAGCACTGTTTTGGCTTGAAGTGATTGTAAACCTTAATTTTTTTAAATGTTTATAAATAATAGGCCTATACTTTTAAAACTCATTTGTTGTTTTGATTAAAAATGTTTAGTTTCTT